TGCATTCTGAAATCCAGTAAAGCTGGCCTTCTTGCTGTTCCTCATTCACAATGTTCCATTTCCCATCATCGTGCCTGTAATGTATTCCCTACTCACCTCTACCTTTTAAAATCCCCTATTTTCTTTAAAAGCTTAGCTCAAACATCACCATTTTCCTAAGACCTTTGATAATCCCACACAGCTGCAAGTGCCTCCCCTTCACAAAATTATCTTGCATTTACATATTTATGTCTATATTTAATATGTGTTTGTGTTTTCTCCCCAAAATATGATTACCTTATAAGGGGAATTTAATAACTATTTGAGTACTTTATATGTTTTTTTAAAAAAAAGTACTTAGGAGTTCCTGTGAATCTTCTGTGTACTCTGAATTTTCTGCGGGGGACAAAAAAAAAGGCTGTCCCACACTAGATTTGCATTTACTACATTCAGTGTAGCTTTTATCCACAGTTGGGGAAACCAAGAAATGAACTTTACCTATGCTTTATTCCAGGGATTTCCTGGAGTAAATGCTAGACAGAGATATGACAAACTAAAAAAAAAAAAAGAGAAATGATCCTCTTGGCATCAGCCCCCCAACTCCCCAAGACCAAGACTGTTCAAATGATGGCAGAGGCTTTACAGGGGAACTAGGTCACTTGTAACAACTATAGAATCTACTTCACAAGATTGTTGTGAGATTCAAACGACCTAATGTCTATAAGGTACAATGTAAAATGTCAGCTATTATTAGTGACCTGTCCAAAGTCACCCAGCTAGAAATTATAGAGCTGGAAATCCCCATCCAGGTCTTTTGACTCTAAATCTAGCACTGTGTCCAACATGCCTCTTGAAAAGCAAGAGAAAATGGGCAGTGAAATGAGAATTTAAAATATAAAGTGGAGAAAACATAAGAGAAAGGGCGAGTCAGTAGTACAAATGTTGACACATTCAGGCTCCAGCAAATGGAAATGATTTTGAGAATCTAGCATTATTGCAGCCAATGTTTTGTCAGAAGTCAGGAGCCCACTAGGCAAAAAGCAGGTGGTATCATTCCATCAGCTTTGCCTGATAGGCGCTGATTCCATTATGCTGAAGTTCAGTGAAATGATTTTTATAGAAAAACTAGAGAACATTCCTAGTCATCAGCAGCACATTCCCAAACTACAAATAGAATAAATACAATATTGAATTTCAGCTCAGTGCTGGCAAATATATTCTTAACAACTACTTGTGGGGTGGGAAGGGAAGGAACTGAGTCACATTTTGTGCACAAATATTTGTATTTTAAGTTGGCTATTTTCAATGAGCACTGAATTTAGAGTCAGAGGACCTGGGTTTAAGTACCCTCTCTGCAGCTTGCCACTTGTGTGAGCCTAGCTGTCACTTCTCTCTGGGACTCATTTTCCTCATCTGCAAAAGAAGGAGCACTTCCAGATCTAAATCTCCGATACTATGCTCCAGTGACTCACTCCCCTAAATCTATAGTGTGCTATCCTAAATATATGGGTGGGACTCAGTGGAATTATTTCAGAAGCACTCTCTTCTATCCACTGAAAACCACAATATACTATACTGTCAAACATTTCTAGTTTCCTAACAGGAAGACTCCTTTTTAAATATATCACATTTTTTCCCTTCTCATAGGGTCATAGAGTTGGAAGAAACCTCAGAAGCCAGCTAGTTCAAGAAACCTCCCTTTTGTCTAGTAGGAAACCAAAGATCAGTAAAGTTAAGTTACCTGCTTAAGATCACACAGAAAGGAAGTAGCAGAGTCTAGGACTTTTTCCCCCACTTCTACACAGGATTTTTAAGGGATTCAAGTTAATAAGTATACTTTTCACTGAGTCTCTATAGCCAATGCAACCATACAATGTTCATCCAATTTCTACCTCCATCAAGGATCTTCCCTGATGCAAGTACTCCTAACACTCACACAGGTCACAATAACTCTATCTCTAAAATCAGGAGAGTTGAGCTAAAAGAAAAATCAGGAAGATATGTTTCACAGGGGGGAAAACATAGTTTTTGAAAATCCTTGAAAATCACAATAAAACAAAAAAAAACTGCATAGCAAATTTCAACTAATCATAAAAGAAAACTACACGGATCACCAGTTGAAAGAAAACCAAGAACACCAAATACCGGGATAAAGACTCCCTATACAACCAAAACTAAAGAAAAAAATATAAAAGTAGTTTTACGAAATTTAGCTTAAGACCCACACCTTACACACATATCTCAATTACCTCCAAATAGATGAATTATCTAAATAGACAAAAAGTGATACCACAAAAAATTAGAGGAGATTAGGAGGTACCTTGCCAAAATATGAATGGGGGATAGAGATGAACGTGAAAGATAATATGGGAAAATGACATAAAATTGAAAAGCTTTTACATTATCTAAGTCACCACAAGTAGAATTAGAATAAAGGCAGTTAACTGAGGAAAAATATCTCTGATAAAAGCCTGACATCCTAAATATATAGAGAATCAATACAACTATATAAGAATAAGAGCCTAGGCGGCGCAGTGGATAGAGCACTGGCCCTGAAGTCAGGAGGACCTGAGTTCAAATGTGACCTCAGACACATAACATTCACTAGCTGTGTGCCTCTGGGCAAATCACTTAACCCCAATTCCCTCACTAAAAAGAAAGAAAGAAAAGAAAAAGAAAAAGCAGAGTCCTATTGGCTCCAGCCAGGTTCTCATTGTAGCCTAACCCCAGGACTCCAAGTAACTAATACCTTTCTTACCTCGCAGGCTGGGGAGGTTGGAACTTGAGCACCTGAGCTGCATTTCTTTGAATACCCAGATTTGGCCTCCCCTGCTGAAAGGGGTAAAAGTTAGCTGCCTAAGCTGGAAGCATTTCTTAAACATGACTTGTACTGCCTGCACACTTTTGTGTTTGTGATATTTCTTTCTAACATTATTATGAAAAAGTTTTAGATAGTGAAGCTTTTCAAATGACCTCACTTAAAACACAGTAGTAATGAGAGGTGGGGTAGACTTTTCTTAAGGTGGCGGGAGTATCAGGAGGCAAGAATCGAACTAGATAAATTCACACTGATCCCCCTAAAGTATAAGAAGAATATAGGTTACCACTCCAAGGTGAAGAACGTAATGTCAAGTTACAGGAGTTTCTTTAGTTACAGGAGTTGCTATTAGGACCTGTTATATTGATAACCCCTAGAGAGCCCTCTAGTGATAGGTAGTACCTATGACAACTGTGGTGAGCATTGGGTTGATAGCACTTAGTCTGAAATTGAATAAATAGCAGGCACTGTCCTCAGCACCCTTTCTATCACACATGAATTCCATCACTATTCGCCAGTACAAAAATCTCCAATGGCCTGCAGACTCCTCAGCCTGGAATTAAAAATTCTTCATAATATATCCTCATTCTAGGTATCCAACTAATTGCTTCCTGCAACATAACCAAAACACAAGCGTTTTACTCTAGGCAAGATGGTCTCCTCACTTTTCCCCCTATTTACTTCAATTTATTCATCGCTATATTTATTTCTAATTTCAAACCTTTATTTATGCTTCTCCTCTGACCTGAAATGTCTTCTGTCTCTCCACTTATTCAAATTTATTCCAACCTTCAAGGTTGAGTTTAAGTTCAACCTCTTCCATGAAGCCATTCCTGACTTTTGCAGCCCATATTGATTTTCATTTTTGTCTGAAAAAGGAAATATAGCACTAGCCCTATAGCATTGGTCTGTATCACACAGTATCAGGCATTGAGTCATACACTCTCGTGTTTTAACTAAACTGCGTCATGAAGAGATTCTAAAGTTCCCAATGCATTGATAAGATCCTAGAGGAAAATGACCATGACTTCATCCTGACCCATTTTTCCCTCCTTATGTAGTCTCATTCTTATCTAGTCTCAAATGATGAGATGGATTCCTTCTTGCCAAGTTTAACCCATTACCTTGGTACTTTGATCTCAACTTCTCCTAACCTTGCCCCATCAATCACCTCTCTTTCTTCTATCTTTAATCTCTCCCTTTCTACAACATGCCAGGTCACTCACATTTAAAAAAATAATATTAAAACATCAAAAAACATCACCATTCTTTCATCAGTAACTCTCTGAACTTATCTTCTTCTCTCCTCCATTCCCTAATAAACTAGAAATAGAAGACCACACTTACTTATATCCGTGACTTCTTTTATCCTACCTTTTTTTTAAATATTTTTACTATTCCTGAAATGTAGCTTCTGTCCCTGTCACTCTACTGAAACAGCTCTGATAAAGTTCATCAATTAGATCTTAATTATCAACTTGAATGATTTTTTTCTGCCTTCATCTTTCTGCACCTTTCTATAGAATTTGGAACTGCTGATTACCCATTCCTTTGTCACGCACGTTTCTCCTTGGACTTCCATAATACTGTTCTCTCCTAGCTTTTGTTCCTAGCTTGCCAACTTCTCAGTCTCCTTTGCCAGTTCATTTTCTTACTGCTGCTCTCTAAGCATAAGTATCACCCAAGATTCTATCGTATTATTTTCATTCTACTTGCTCTGCCTTGATTATCTCATCTATTCCTATAACTTCAATTATCATCACTATGCAGATGACTCTCAAATCGATATCTCTGATCTCAATCTCTCCCTTGAGTTCTATTCCTACTGATTCCTAGATATTCTCACTGGGATAACCTGCCAACATCTCAAACTCAAAATATTCTAAAGTGAACACAACATTCCCCCCCCAAAAGAAACTATGCCTCATCCCAATATCTTTGTACTTGCTTAAGGCACCATGATACTTCTAATCATCTGGCAAACTGAAATGAATCAGGTCCAAAACCTTAGACTCATAAATGACCATCCCCTCTACCTTACCACCTTATGACTGACCAAAATGACTCTGTCTCCATCATATGTCTCATATTAGTCCACTCCATTTCACTTTTAAGGCCACTAAAACTAGTTCAGACCCTCGTCACCTCTCACCTGAACTATTGCAACAACTTCCTGATTGGTCTCCTTGCTTCCATTCTCTCTCCTTTCCAATTCATCCTCTGCACAGCTGGAAAAAAAAGAAAGAAAGAAAAAGAAAAACTCATATAAAGCATAGGTTCGGACATGTCATCATCCCCCCCCAAAAAAAAATCCTTGAGTGGCTCTCTTTTGCTTCTAATACAAAATACAAAGTCCTCAATCTGGCTCTTCAGCTTCCTTTACAATCTTTGCCCAACCTACCCAAACAATGTATGCCACCTTATTACCCTTCACATACTTAAATTCCCTGTATATTGAACTATTTGCTGCTCTTCCATTCAATCTAGCTTTTTAATCACCTCCATGCATTTATGGAGGCTGCTCATCAAGCCTAGAACAGACTTATGTGTTTCTATTAGTCGAAATCTTTTCTTTGTTCAAACACTAGTTCAAGATCCATTTCCTATTTGAATCCTTCCTTGATTCCCTTCCCCTAAACTGAAAATGATCTTTCTCTATTCAAATTAATAAATATATATGATATACACAGATTTATATTTATATTGTAATTCAAACTTATTTAACAATAATAATAGATAGCATTTATATAGTACTTTAAGTGCAAAGTACTTTACAAATATTATCTCATTTGATAATGAGATAACAATAACAATCCTGGGAGGTAGGTGTTGTTATCCCCATTTTACAGATAAGGAAACTGAGGCAAGCTGAGGTTAAGTGACTTACCCAGGGTCATACAGCTATTAAGTGTCTGAGGCTGGATTTCAGGCCAGGTCTTCCTGACTCCAGGTCCAGTATTCTATCCACCACATCACCTAGCAGCTTATTTGTATAGAATAGTTCTTTTCAAAATCTCCCAGAAGTGACCAGGGTAAAGGATGAAAAAGGTACAGGGAACCTGGAAATGCATTGTCAGACATTTCTTAGAATGCTTAAGTTTATGTCAGCTGGAGTTTCATGGGCCTCAGGCAGAAAAGAGATGACATTCTGCATTTCATTTTAGATTTTCCTTTAAAGCAGCTGAAACTAAGGAGGTGCCCCACAGGTACTATCTCTGCAGCTGAGCAGGACAGAAAAAAAGGAAGCAATCCAGGAGAACCATGGGGAGCTATGAAGAGACAAGGAGCATCTCAGACCTGGCACATACAGAATTATATGAAGTAAAGATAAGCCGGAAGAGATCAGATTGAATATGGACCATGCTGTGACTCAACTATGGTGAGATCAAGAGGTACTAATTCCAGCATTTCCTGCCCCACCTCCCCTGCTTCTTTCTTCAGAGCAGTTGTCAATGAAATTCCTACAACTTATGGAACTTCCCAAATTTTTCTTCTGTTCTACTGGCTAGGAGGAAGAGTTGGGGAAGATAAGTTTATCTTGTTGCCCCAAACTCTTTATGGTCTGATTTTTATGATACCATTTATAGTTGGCAACTCCCACAAATGAGATTGAATGAAAAGGACAGAATACCAACATAAGAAACTGGGGCTCAGGGCAGAAATGAGAGGATTTCCTCTGTGGGGTAATTTTGAATGTATTTCAATTCATACTTTTAGAATCAGAGATCTACATAGGACCCCAGACTGGATTGTCTGTAATTAGAGCACTAACTGGTGAGTGGTTGAGAATTTCAGCCATAAGGAAAAACTGTACCTGTGGATTAAGTGCCCTCTTAACAGTCAGACTTGGTGGCCCAAGGGTAGCACCACTTGATGGCCAAAATATGTACTATACTCCCAGTAGATTAATTGCTTGCAGGTCACCGCTTTCTGGAAGAAAAAGAAAAGAAAAGAAATGAAGACAAAGACTACAAAGATGACAAAGACTATGGTGAAGGAGGAGAAAGAGAAGAAGGAGGAGGATGAAAAGAAGGAGGGAGAGAAGGAGGAGGAGAAAAGGAAGAAGAAGAAAGAAGAAGAAGAAGAAGAAGAAGAAAGAAGAAGAAGAAGAAGAAGAAGAAGAAGAAGAAGAAGAAGAAGAAGAAGAAAGGGGAGGAGGAGGAAAAGGAGGGGGAGGAGAGGGAAGAGAAAGAGGGGGAGGAGGGGAAGGAGAAGGAGGGGGAGGAGGAGAAGGAGGGGGAAGAGGGGAAGGAGGAGAAGGAGAAAGAGGAGGAAGAGGAAAGAAAGAAGAGTTTATGTAGTTCCTTAATATTTACAAAGTATGTTATAAATATTGTCTCATTTTATTCTTACAACCCTATGAGGCAGGGTTATTATTATCTCCATTTTACAGGAAGAAACTAGAGAAGTTAAGTGATTTGCTCAGGGTCACACAGCTAGTGTCTGAGACAGAATTTGAGCTCAGGTTTTTCTGACTCCAGGTCTAACACTCTATACCCCTGTGACTCCTAGCTGCCTAATGTACAGAAAAGGAAGGAGCCAATATATATATATATATATATATATATATATACATATATATATATATATATATATATATATATATATATATATATATATATATATATATATATATATATATATATATATATATATGTGTGTGTGTGTGTGTGTGTGTGTGTGTGTGTGTGTGTGTGTGTGTGTGTATAGCTAATGCCTAACCTTCACTGCATGTCACAGGTATATGCAGTGTATCCCCTCTTCTAGAGTAAACTCCTTGAGGCCAAGGATTGTGGCATTTTTCATCCTTGTAACTCCAGCATCAAGCACACTGCTTTGGGCATAGGGTTTAGTAACTTGAACCGAATTAACTAACGCATTTGCTTTGTTTTCCCCTTAACTCCTAGGGCAGGTAAATGAACAAAGTTACCTCTCAATAAATATGAAATTAATGATAATTTGACCCTACACTGCTTATCAAACTTTATTTCCCACTACTCCCCAATTACTTTACTCATCCTACTGGGCTCTCTCACATCAAGCACATTCTCACATCAAGCTAGATGGTGCAGTGGGTAACTGTCTAGGCCTAAAGACAGGAAGAACTAAGTTCATCTCTGACCTCAAACATTTACTATATGACCCTGGGCAAGTCACTTAACCTGTCCACCTCAGTTTCTTCAACTGTAGGATGGGTATAATAACAACACCTATCTCCTAGAAAATTTGTCATGAGGATCACATGAGATATTTGTAAAGCACTTAACACAATGGCACAAAATAAGTGCTTAATAAAAGTTTCCTTCCTTCTTACTTTTCAATCAATCAGTTTTTCCCATCTCATGTTTTCCTTCTTTTTACTTTGTTTATTCAATTCTTATCCATCCTTTCAGGTACAGAATAAGTCCTACCCCTTCCCACTAAAGGACTGCTAAGGAATCCTTTCTTGATTCCTCTATCCTATACTGGTGTTTACAGAATTTCGTGTTTAGGCATATATCAAATATTATTGTACTCTAATTCTTTCATGTTATGTATGCTACGCTATGCTGTGTTATGTCATGTTATGTCAGATTTGCAAACTCTTTAAGAGTAGGGACTATAGGATCACAAGACTTAGATCAAGAAAACTTAGAAATCAAATAATCCAAACTCCTCTTTTTTTTCAGGTCAGGAAACTGAGGTACAAAGGGGAATGACTTATCCAAACTCACTAGGTAACAAGTAACAAGAGATTGGAACCCAGATCTCTTGGCTGTCGGTCTAATATTCCTCTCTTACTATATCACCCTACTATGTCAAACTTTTCCTTTGAATGACTTCCTAGTGTGGAGCACAATCCTGAGCCCATGCAAACTTTCCACAAATTCTTATTATTTGGTTCATTGATTCAATAACCATTTTTAATAATCAAATGAATTAATTTAGAAGTGAACTCATCATCCCTCAATTAGTGTTTTACAGTGTTTCCCTTGCTTTCCTTCCTCAGATTCATTTAGTCTGCCCACCACTGAGTCTACACTCACAATCCAGGAGCCATAGAAGTTATTTTGAAGAAAGTACATATGAAAAATACTTAGATTTTTGGGATAGGGAGCAAGATATTCAATAAGGGGAAAATTATTTGGCAAACAAAAGCCATTTCACTATGCAAAATTCATTTCCCAAACCTAAAAACAACAAATATAACACAGGTCAACTGCATGGGGGGGGGGGAACTGAATTTTAAAATAAACTTTGAAAGCAATTTGTTTTGGTCATAGCAAATGGATTAACTTTTTTGCAGATAAGCAATTATGTTACCATGCTTATAAAAATAAGACAGATCATTGATTAAGTATGGAAATGTGATATTAGCCTTTGATTCCTCAGAACAAAGAATCTCTTCACCAGAAAAAATATTTGCTTTGAGGGTAGAGTTCCCTTGATATTGATCCTGGGAAGTTTCCTAACTAGGCCTAGTTGCTAGATTCAAATTTCTACTGGAGGATATCCGAAACCCTACACACTAGAACTTTCTGGTTGGTACAGAGTCAGACAGAACAGTTTTTAATGAACAATTATATCATTTGCTCATTTCCTAATAATAATAGCTGATATTTATATTCTACTTTAAGGTTTTAAAAGTATCTTACATTATCTTATCTGAGCCTCACAATATCCCTTTGAGATAAGAACTATAGGTGTTATTATCCCTATTTTTCCCAATAAGGAAAGTAGGACTCAGAGAGTTTAAACACCTTGCCTATGTTCAAATAATTAGGAAGTGTCAGAAATCTAAATGGAACCCAAGCCATCCTGACTCCATGTCAAGTATTCAATCCATTATGCTCACCTCATTGTCCACTTATAAGAAATCTCTTGAAATAGACTACTTTGGGGTGTACTTCTTTTATATTTAGATAGAACCTTCATCTCATTGGTATGGACCTCTTATACCAGCATAAATTGTAACTCCTCCAATCCCTCACCGTCATGTGAAATTGTTGACTATGTCTTTCCGAAAATCCTCCCTAGAGGATTGCATTAATATGATAGAAGGCTTTTTTTGTTTTTGTTCCTGTTTTGTTTTGCTTTTTATATGTCATGAATACCATTACATAATTTAGATTATCTATTATCCTCTACCCTCACTGCCTAGTTAGCCCACCTCCCCTTTTCCAGTCATAAATTTCTTTGTTGATGTTTTATGGCATTTCTCACATACAAATCATTGTTATCAATAAATGGTAGCCTACTGAGATCAATCATGCACCTTTCTATTGCTCTTTGGTTCACCTAAAATTCTAGTTCTTCTGAAGTCATGGTGTTTCATGGTTTGTGGCCATAATAGTATCACTGGGAGAATAATAGTGTTATACAGATAGGCTTTCAGGGGCAGTGAAGAGCTTGGGATAATTGGGTCTAGACAGGTAGTGTGAGGACTTATCCTACAGTTTCCCATATTACGGCATAGAAGGAAGAGCATGGAGAGATAGATCCAAATTACACCTCTGTTCCTGCCTATTCTTATTACAAATGATTTAACCTCCCAGGACCTCAGTTTTGTCATCTATAAAATAAGGAAGTTGAAATAGATTACCTCTATGGTCCCTGTCAGTTCCATATCTATGATCCTAAAATGGAAATCATCCTGGTTCTTTCCTCCTAATCAGTTCTAATGCCTTAGTCACTGCCCATCTGAAACCTCTATCTAATGTATAGCAAAGTCCCAATTAGTGCAAACAGCGGATCCTGTGAGGTGATCACATTATTCAAATTCGCATTGCATATTTCCAATGGGTTGCAACCATTTACCATATTTTTTTTTCACAATTATAATTACAAATAGTGAAAATTCAAATACAAAGGACCACTCCACAGGAGGCTGAAAGGGACAGGGAGTGAGGGACAGCAGATGGGAAAAGGGACTCAGCAAAGGGCCATGATGATGTATATCTTGGATGAGAAGTATACTTGGATGGGAAACAATGTGATAGCTACCTTAGAAGCTCTCCTTAAATGGAAGCTCTAGAAGGCATTCTTTGATGTCTACCCTCCATACTATCTAGTCAGAGGGAGAAAGGGGTCCCAAGGGCAAGGAGTACTGAAGAGATGAGATTTTCAGAGCTGATATGTAGGATGGTGAATTTCTGATGACCATGATGAAGTCCAGAAGTGCCCTCCCACAGGACAATAGAAATAATAACTACTTGTAGGATTTTTCAAATCTATGGATTTAACTGAATAAATTTTGGAGTCTTCTAGCCCTCAAAGAAATTAGTTCAATATCATCTGCAAATAGAGGACATTTAGAAAACCTCCCCATCAATAGATAATTATGGGCACCACCGACTTTTATAAATGGATAGAAAAAGAAATAGAATCAGAAAGCACCAAATTGACCTTTATGGGTTACTCTGTGTCATAAACTGAATCATTTTTGGCATGACATGAAAAGTTGGCCCACCTAGCTGTCTACCTGTCAGACACTTCATCTGTAAGAACAAAATGAAAGCTAAAGTCATCACACCAAATTTCATCCATCCATCAAGTTCAAATCATAGAAATATGAACATTGGGATTGCCGATCTTTCTAGTAAACCAGAGTAAAGGAATCATCAATCATTACAGTGAACAACAATAAGTCAACAGACATTCTATCTAGCAGTCTTAGGTTTGAAAAAAAATGAAATTTCAGGTGTCATATATCTTGTTTTACCGAGCCTATTTTTTTTTTCACTTGGCTTCAGGCAACCTCCTGGGTGATTTCCTCAAGTGAACATTTCCTTTGTTTCAAAAACTGCATTTCCTAAGACAAATGGTAGCTCCAAATGTTAAGTAACCACATATTTTGGAATTAAAATTCTCAAAGATGCTGCTATTATCAGATCCTTTTTAAAACACAATTGGACAGCTAGGTGGCACAGTGGATATAGTACCACCCTCAATTCAGAAGGACCTGAGTTCAAATCCAGCCTCGGACACATAACACTTACTAGCTGTGTGACCCTGGGCAAGTCACTTAACCCCAATTGCCTAAAAGCAAAAAAAAAACCAAAACCCACAATTGAATGCCAAACAGGCCCCATAGTTCATTGACTTTCTTAATAAAACAAACAAAAAAGGACTCAAAAGTATTTGATTTTACTTTTCCCTTTGGCAAGCCCATCCACTTGAAGCCATATGGCTTCAAATATCACTTAATCCTGATTACTCACAGATACATCACTAGTCCTGGCCTCTCTTTTGAACTTAGACCAGCATTCCAACTGCATACAGGTTATCTCTGTCTATCTATTGTCAAACTCAACAAGTTAAAAATTAATTTTACTCTTCTCCTAAACCTTCTCACTTCATTATTTCTATCTATGCCATCACAACTCATTCAGCCTTTTATGTTCATAACCCTGGAGCTAATTTCAATTCTTTCCTTTCCCTCATCTGTTAGATACAATCATTTACCAAGTCATACCAATTCTGTCTCCATAATATCTCTCATGTCCATCCTTTTTTGTCATTGATGCAATCACCTTTGAGTAAACCTTCATTATTCCCTTCTTGTTCTATTGCAAAAGTCTCCAAGCCAGTCTTTCTACCTTCCCCCTTACCCTCTCCCTCCATGTTATGTATTCTGCTTTTAAAAAAGGAAGGAAAAAAGAAAGAAAAAGAAAATCTTCACTAACTCCTTATTGCCTACCTTGTTGTTTAGTAATTTTCAGCCATGTCCAACTCTTCATGACCCCTTTTGTGAGTTCTATTGGCAAAGATACTGGAGTGGTTTGCCATTTCCTTCTCCAGCTCATTTTACAGATATAGAAACTGAAGTGAATAGGATCAAGTGACTAGCCCAGGGTCACAGAGCTAGCAAGGCTCTGTGGATGCATGAGGTTGGATTTTAACTCAGGTTTTCCTGACTCCAGACCTCATACTCTATCCACTGCCCACTGCCTACCTAGTTATCTTTAAATTCTTCTCCCTGATGTTCAAGGCCCTCTGTAATCTAGGATACCCTACAGTTCTAGTCTAATTTCATGTTCCTACTTTAGTCATACTCTATATACCAGCAAAACTAAACTACTTTCTGACCTCTGAATGTATAGATTCACCAAGTTGAATGGGTTTAACAGTTCCCCTTACCTCTTTGAGATCTGTGTCATAGTAAGCACTACGATTTCTTTCAGGAGGAAAAAACATAATGAATTGCAGACATGTGCTCTTGCTTCTACTTTTATTCGGTGATACCCACAAGTATACCCATTACACTGCTGGCCAATCTCAATGAGCATAAGGCATGGCTTCCTTTGGCCTCCTGACACCTTCTAGTTTGGAAAATACATGTTCTGGGACTATGTAGCTTACAAAAGGCACCATGGACAAAATAACAATACCAGGACTGGCTTAATCTCTTTGAATTCATGGTTGATAGTATTCTTTTTCTGAAGTTGTATCTATGCCTTGGGACTTTATACACTTTAATGGTTAAGTGGGTAAAAGAGTAGCTGGCTTGGCCTATAGTTAACCTCATAGATTACCACAACAGAATACATATAGGGGCCTATAATTACAGGGCTTTACAAGACCGTTTACCTTAGTTATATCATATGTATGATCAAAATTCACAGTTGACTTAATCATTTATTTGCATTATAACTTGGCTCCAATACAACTTCATACAGCATTTCAGTTGATGAATGAAGGTGCCTTCCTAAAACACTGGGGAAAATCAGCTCCAAGACTATTAGTTCTGGAAAAAAAAAAACCAATGGATTATCTTCTTCATCTGCTGATTATCATTCTGTGTGGCTTTGGACATGTCATAAATGTTCTGCCTTTCAGTGATTCCCCTATTTGTTTACCAGGACCCTTGAACCCCATTTTGTATTTTCTGAATCAAAGTTCAGAAACTTTGTGTGAGATTGCAATATCTGATTTATAGACACTATTTACTAACTCACGTAGGTCACATGCAATCAGTTGAGACTTTAAATCTGATGTAATTATAGACATCACCAAACAACATTCACTGAAAAGTCTTCATGCTTTACTTTCATAAATATGAAAGGAAAATTTCCAGACAGCTGCCATAAAAAATGATATTTATGTTTATATACAGAACACTGGAATCATGAGTCACTGTGTTAAATCAATATTTGGTTTAAACATCATTGTAAGTAAAATTCAAATTAGGCAATTAGTAATTGAACCCGGGTGTCTTATCAGCAAATCATTACTCAAAGGGCTAGTTTTAACTATTTGTAGATGTTGTAATAAGCAGTATGAATTGCTGGGATGGCTTATTCTATAAATAAGTGAACCAGATCACAGAATCTCACAGTGAGAAGAGCTTTCTGTGGCCATTTATTCTAACCCATATCTGAAAGAAGGATCCTGGCTACAACATCCCTGGTCATCCAGCATCTGCCCAAAGATCAACTAGAGATGAGCAGCCCATTGCTTCCCAAGGTAGTCTGTTACCCTTTGGGACTATTAGTTCTAAATCATCTTAAACTCTTTTGTGATAGTACAGCCAAGTGTTGTATCATAGTATCAGTTCTTTCCTCTGTGATATTAAGGCATATAGAACAAGAAGAGAGGATGCTTTATAAATACCACAAAATGTACATTTTTATAACCCACAGATGTTTGGGAAAGGAATTAATGAATGCCTAAGGACTAGGGTAGTGGGGAGAGGGGCATATGGTTATTGTGTTTTTAGCATGAATACCAATCCATCTGTCCACAGAAGACCTTGGAGATTATCTGGTTCAAATCATTTCACTGTTGAGGAAACTGAAGGTCAGTTAGGTTGTGACTTGCCCACCAGTAGTTAGCAGCCAAGCTAGAACTCAAACTCAAGTGTCTTAAGTTCTAGTCACCTTCTGCAGAAGTCATTTCTGTGTCCCCCAGCTGCTAAAGCCTTTCCCTCTTCTAGCTACTCTGTGTACCTTGTATGGATCTATTTCATTATATGTTGTCTTCCTTATTTGAATGTAAGTTCCTTGAGGGCAAGGACTGGTTTTACTTTTGTTGTACCCACAGTGCTTAGGAGAATATCTGGTATATAGTAAACTCTTAATAAATTCATGATGACTGAGTATTCCAAACACAGGAATATCTCTTCCTCTAGTACAAAAGTTCCCAAACTTATTTGGCCTACCACTCCCTTTTCAAAAAAAAAAAATTATTCAGCGTTCTGTGGAAATCTACTTCCCTTAACCTTTTAACTTTTTAAAAAATTTATTTCAAAAAAATGTAAAATATTATTTTTAAAAACACATCTTAAATTTAATAATTTATTGTAAATTTGTGGGGTTTTCCTGTATTGAAATTTTGATGATGCAATATTGCATCATGCGACCATATAGTATCATATTGTAAACAGGTCATTACAAGCATGTATTTCTGTTGATGTATGCTGGACTTCCCAACAACACGTGACACACTCACCTGCCAACACTTGCTTGTTAAGACCTGTTGGTGGACTTGACCACTGATAGGTTATAACTTGTATTTTGTGTATTTCTGGAAAATAATGTAGTAACTACAACTTTAACTCTGTTATACAACAAATGAAATATGTACAAATGGTTTTTCAAATTTTCTTCTCTTCCTTCCTTATGCTTCTACTGCCCCCTTATTTTTATTCAATGCCCCCCAATTGACCTGAGGCTACTACCGCCCCCCTACACCTCCCTGATCATTCCAGCGTCCCCCAGAGGGCAGTATCTCTCACTTTGGGAACCCATGCATGTGGGTGTGCCATCAGAAGGCACTGACACCATCCACAAATGAGTTGTTCATATTTTGAAAAAACAAAAACAAACTATTCCATTGTTCTTTCCACTATGAACACCAGATTCCTTCATATTATAATTTAACCACCATATTTTGTCTTTTTAAAAAACACTGCATTGATAAATGCCTTCTCAGTAGTGCTCTCCACTACAGAAATTACTTTTTATTTACTCTGTAAATATTATAAATATTTCAAAGTTAATTAGTTTTTTTTCTTTAAGTTAGATACTATTTCCTTTACTTAGATGTTATGATATTTGCTATTGAGAAGGCATTTAGTACTGAGGGGGTTAGAGTGGCATTTATGAATGATTGTGATATTAAAAAATATCATATGTGTCCAACTAAGGCTTTGTTGATTTGTGGTTGTTGTTCAGTCATTCCAGTTGTGTCCAACTCTTCTGGACCCCATTTGGAGTTTTCTTGACAAAGATACTGGAGTGGTTTGCCATTTCCTTCTCCAGCTGATTTCACAGTTGAGGAACTGAGGTTAGATTTGAACTGAGGTCTTCCTGACTCCAGGCCCAGCAAGAAAGAATTCAAATGGAGAGAAAGCACTCAGAATAAGAGGAACACATTAAAAAAAACCATTTAAAATAAGATATGTTATCACAAAAGACAAAATGTAAAATAAAAATAAAATGCCATTGTGAAGGCTGCTAAAAAAAAAAGCACTGAGGAAATCAGAGTTTTTGATGGATTGGGAAAGTTTGGGTTTGGGCTGGATCTGAGCTGGGCTGGAAGCGTGAGCCAACTTGGTGCCGGAACTGCTGGAAAAGGAGGCAGCAGTTCAATAAAAGAATGTATGGGGGGGGAGTAGGAGGTATGAAAAGCTAAATATCAAAATAAATACATATTGCCTGCATTGCAATTGTTCTAGGACTCACCCAGGGTTTTCCCTATAATAATGAAATCACAGGTCTGATGCCTTATGGAATGGGAGAAGGGCAATACCAGACAAGGCAAGAAGAACAGGATCTGAATTAAGATTTGAGCTGTCACCAATGAGGTGACTAAGCCAGGTGCTCTCTTTTGAAACACCAAAATACAAGGGGCTAAGACAAAATAGAAAAAAGAAGTCCTGGATCTGGAATCAGGAAAACCTGAGTTGAAATCCTGCCTCAGACATTTACTAAGTTGTGTGACTCCGAGCAAGTCAGTTTATCTGTCTGCTTCAGTTTCCTTCTCTGTTAAACATGGATAACAAAACACCTTCTTCCCAAAGATGTGAGGATAAATAAAATGAAATCACATTTGTGAAATACTTTGCGAACCTTAAAGTGCCATATAAATGCTAGCTATTATTATTAGCAGCAGCCCAAATACTACTAAAATTGGCCCCAATTACATTGCAAGCTCCTTGAGTGCAGGAACTGTCTTTTCCCTCTTTTTGTATCCCCAGCCCTTAGTGAAGTGCCTTGCATACAGTAAGTGGTTAATAAATGTTCATTGACTGATCAATTGGTTGCCCTTATAGATTTTGGATACCTGATTAAACTATTAGGATAAGTCTGGAAAACTACAAACTTCAGACTTCTAAAAACTTCCTTCCATCTCTCCAAGCCAGGCTTGCCCGATCAACTTTAACATTTCTGCCACTTAACATTACTTCCTTTCTCTTGAGAAGAGAAGGGGAAAAAGACAGAAAAAGGAAAAACTATAAACACACAGAGAGAAGATTTTCAGAAGATTTTCCTTTTCCAGGGACTTTAAGTGTCTGAGGCAAGTGTTTCATCAGATCCATAGCTATTTTATGTTCTTCACAAAAAAAAAATCCTATTACTTCTTTCCTCTACCCACATCCTAACACACACTCACTCTCTCTCTCTCTCTCTCTCTCTCTCTCTCTCTCTCTCATTTTGAAATTATCCTTGCTATTGGGGTGGGAAGTAGAATCATGACATGCTGAGCATTTGTATTTTTATCATGTCAGGTATACTTAAACTAGAGATAACTACGATAGAGAGAACTATAAATCAAGTTCCCTCTGTTCTGTGGCACACTCTACTTTAGAAGAGGAAGAAAAATGCATGAGAACACAACTGAGTAAACACCATTCTTATCCCTATTCATTTACATGTGCTGAGTAATCTATTTAGGCAGCAAGAGAATCTGCACAGTACCTGTAGTAAACCACTCAAAATCCTAAAAGGAAATTCACTTATGCATATTTAAAACAAAGGAGCATTATTCTTTCCTGGTGCTATTTAGTTAAAGTAGAAATTTGTTACAGCTGCTAAATACAACTGCCCTCTTACTTGGAGGTGGGTGCCTGTGGTATTGTTTAGGGATACCTCACTAATGGATTTGATTTCTAAAGAACCAAAATTGATCTACTTACACACAAATTTTTTAAAAAGAATAGTTTCATATAAAAATACCTATCCTTCTATAGTCACAAACATCTTAAATGTGCTCTTAATTGCATTTAAAAGCTAATCGTTACAATATTTATTTGAAGGAGTTTTTTGGTCTGTAAGATTAGTGCTTTTTTCTACCAGCCAGGGTACTAAACTGCAAATTTTTTTAAAATTAAAAAGATTTATATACATTTTAAAAATAATTTCTTTGTTTATTCCATGATAAATAGACATGTCTTAAAAGTTGTAGCCAAATAAGTATCCTGACAGCCCAGGATACTGAAAAGAACTGGTTAGTACATTAACTGAAAAGCCAAGACAGTTGCTGTTTTTGTAAATTCTAAGCTTATCTGAGATATTTAATTACCTCTCCCTGTGGTATGCATACACCCAAGACAGTTATATCTCCTTCAATAGGAATTTGGCATTTATTTCATTACAGGTAAAGGACCAACATTGTTTAAATGGAAGAAAATATTCACTGATAAGCCACTGTGGAGCATATCCTTGTGTCACTGGGCTAATTCCATTAACTACCTGTGTTTTGCTTTTCTACTTAAATGTCTTTTCCAGTATTATCTCTTGGAAAATCACATTTCTTACTTTGTAAGTTTCTCCTAGCTCCCATGCTTCCCTTTGAGGCTTTTTTTAACACAAGACTATCCTAGCAAAGGTCATGAAATCACTACCAGGACTTTTCTCTCCAGTACTTTTCTGTCCTTTCCTGACAGGAAGAGCCTCCAAACACTCAGTACATGAGATGCTATCCTTGTTGTTAACCAGTGGGGGCCACCATATCCCCAGTAGTCAGTGAAGAGGTGAACAGATTGATTGGACACCCTGTTCACAACATGGTCTAGATTCATCTAATAGCACAAAGAGCTATTGATTGACATTTCTTCTTGTGTATCCTTCCAGTAAATCTCAATTATTTTCCCAATGTAAGTCTCTCAGGTAGTCATCTCTTAAAGCTCATAATTTAAACACTGAACACTGATTGGCTTGTTCAACAGGCTAAGAAAACCATATTTCAGTAACACAAATGAGACTATAGAAAGGAGCAGAGTTTATGAATTGTTGTTGTTGTTTGTCCTTTGGTCTTGAAGAGGACCAATGACATCAGGAGGGTAATGTCTTGACTTGCAAGTGAATTGAATTTAAGGGAGGCAGGACGTGCAAAATCATCAGCCTTACTGTCATTTGGAGTCTAGTGACAAGACATAAAACAGGACTACTGGTGATGGTCCAGAGGAAGTGGTAGACCTTGGCCTTTTTTTAAGCTAAGGTCTTTACCAGGTCTCAATTTATTTGAGACAACACCCATTCAGTGATTAAAGGATAGGTGAGAAGGGTTTATGCAAGTGAAAATTCAGGGGAACACCAAGATTAATGTTCCAAGTTATTTTCTTCAATGAATTTCCAGTTGATATTTTGGTAGTATGACATAATAGACAGAGTGTTGGGTCTAGAGTTAGAAAAACCTAGGTTCAAATACTGTCACTGATATTTACTTGCTATGTGACCCTAAACAATTCATTTAACCTCCCTGTGCTTCTTGCAACCCTCATGGACTTATCTACTAATTCATAGGTGGATTGCAATCTGGCTTCAAATCAGTGGAGGGAGTTCCCACATTTTGAGTCCCTCTTTGCTGACAATATCATAGATTTTTCACATTTCCTTATATTTTGAACCCAACAGAAACATTATTAAAGGCCTCTTTGTACAATTGCATATTAAATAAACAAATCAATTCATATCCTAATCCCTCATTTCTAATTAGATTTCTTGTTTAAATTGGTCTCACTGAAATATTTCTATTATCCATACTATAATGCACAGCTGGCATGTTGGGAAAAGGGCTTGCCCATCTAAATCAATGATCCTATTCCCACCAGCTCAAAGAGCAGATAGACATGTGAGGCTACATAAATGAAATCTTGCCTCACCTCCAATTCTTTGAATCCTCAGTTTTTCTCAAAGCACAGTTCAGAATCACCTCTGACATGAGGCCTGTCCTAATTCGCCAGACCCTCATTATTATTGCTTTCTTCTCATTCATTTATTTAACAAGCATACCCTCTAGAATTTTAACTACATATACTTTGTATTTACTTATTTATATGCTATGTTCTATCCCTCAAGGGGAATGTATAATCCTAGAGGGCAAGTACTGCTTTGTTTTACATCTAGTCATCACAGTTGTTATTCAGTCTTTTCAGCCTTATCTGACTGTTTGTGTTCCCCTTTTGGGTTCTCTTGGCAAAGATACTAGAGTAGTTTGCATTTCCTTCTCCAGATCATTTTACAGATGAGGGAACTGAGGTAAAGAGGGTTAAGTGACTTGCCCAAGGTCACTTGGTTAGAACATGTCTATGGTCAGATATCAGGTCTTCCTGACTCCAGGCCCAGCTCTCAATCCATTGTGTCATCTAGCTGCTATCACCACAGCTAGCATTTAACAAAAGTTTGTTGAATCTAATTGAATTAAAAAGGACAAAGAGACCTCAAATTGATGGAGAGGGACTAAGGAATGGAGAATTGGCTAACCCAGAGTTTATGGAGGCAGATATGCTAGAAATGCTTAGATAAGTGGCAGGGAAATTGCCTGTTAGGTCAATGACATGATGACTTCTTGGATGTTCGCCTCCAGGAAATGATTTACTTGTAGACAAGATCATTCACAAGCATTTTATTATCTTGAGCACTAACCTGTTTGTCATGTAGCTTTTGAAAAACTCACTTTTCAAAATCATCTTTGCAAATATGTATTGTTCAAATGTTCAGTTTCCTTTAAGAGGTTGCAGCTTGTAATTTGTTGATTTTTCAAGAAGGCAGAAAACAGAAATGAAATTATTTATTCTCCTCTGCAGTAGGCTTCTGTGACATCCAAAGGTCTGATTCGGGCTGTTTCCACTCCTCTCCAAAAATTGTATTCAAACTAAAAGACTTGAAGTATTCCAGATGATGGCTAAAAGGAAAAGAAAATGGAGTGGGAGTTGAAACAGATTTTAAATCTGGGGAAAATAGCTGTCTTGAAGGAGAATTTATTCTGTTTTGTCAGATCTTTTATGTGTCAGTTTTCTATTTTAAGGAACTCCAAAGTAGACAGTATCATAAAGGAACAACTTCTCTTGATCTGAAAACACCCTCTCATGGTTTAACAGTCAATGTCTTGAAAATACCTTTCATTCGTATATAGCTTTAAACAAAGACACTCACATGTCCTTTTCAAATATTGGAAGGAGTCAAATTTTGTTGCCATTGTTTTCATTACCGAAATTTAAGAAGCTATTCTAAAAAGTTTCAGCTCCACATACCACCCTGCATTATCAAGTCTGAGACTTAGTTCTTCCCTTTTCAGGCAGAATAATGGACTGTTACAAAGGTTCCACCATAGACTTATGAAAAAAAAAAAAGGAAAAATAGATTTCCTTCCATGTACCAGTGCAGCAGCTGTGCTCTGAAAAATTGCTTTATTACCTACTCTATCTTGACCAGAGGTGCAAATAAATACCTTTGTATATGGGCCACGCCTCCCATCAGTTGTAACTACTATGGAGAAGAGTAGAAGAGTGATGACAGCTGGTACCAGGCCAGAGAGGAATTAAGTAATTAATGACTGGAACAAGTGAATGAATGAATGAATGAATGAATGGATGAATGAATGAATGAATGAATGAATGAATGAATGAAAAAGTATTTATTAAGCCTGTATTCTTAAGCTCTAGGAACACAAAGGGAAAAAAAGTAAGACAATCTCTACTCTCAAGGTGTTCACATTCTAATTGGAGGAGACAATAAATAAAAGAAAGTTCAGCTAAAGGGCAGGTGGAAAGGCCCAGAAATCCTAAGGGTTCTATCGATGCAACTTAAGGACCCCAGGGCTGATGTTAGGGACCTAGGAATCCTTAAATTACACCAGTAAATCAGATGATAATGCCCAAGAGTCTGGAGGGTATAGAGTCAGAGCAAATGGCAAAGGCCAAAGAACCTTAAAATACAAAGGCAGAATAGATGATAAGGTTTGGCAGTCCTACATCTCACTAGAAGGAACAGAATTGGTAACTTCCACCTTAACAAATTGATATGATTAGTCAAATGGCCCAAATAGGGTGTGGTCAACCCACGGTCATGGAGGAAGCAAAAGGAATAGAAAAGGAGAGAGTATCCTAGTAGTGGTGGATCACTGACATGAAGTCTAGGTATCTGGGGATAAAGGAGAGAGGAGCAAAAAGAAAGCAAGCCCTGACAATAGCATGGGTAAAGAAATACCAACTCAATGTCTGAACCAATTATTCCTAGCTCCCTGACCCTCCTTACTTGACTAGATGGAGTCACACTGACCTGTGCAACGGTCATGTTTAGAGTAAAATGGGCAGAATATGAAGAAGAAGGATAGAACAGCACAGTGGTTGAATAAAAGGAAAAATTAAAGAACTGAGTGGAAAAGAAGAATAAAGGATGGCCAAAGAGAAGAGCAGAGTGGTAAAAGAGAGGGGAAAGTTAAGATAAAGGAAGTGAGGAATACAGAATTTAAAAAAAAAACACTAGGGATAGGAAGAAGAGAAGAGAAGAAAGAACTTAGAAGCAAAATTGGTGAAAAGGGAGGGCACAGGGATTGTGGAAAGTGACAGAACTGAATGAAAACACTGCCATATATTTTGGGATGAATCAGAGTCTGTGTCCAAATAGCAAACCTCCTGCCAACAGCTCCTTTCTTCACCATTGAGACTCTGTTTATGCTCTTGAAAAGGTCTGAAAAAGCTGAAGCTAGTAACTAGAGAGCCTGTGTTAGTCAGCATGTCAACGTATATTAACCAAGGAGCCAGAGGGTACTTCTGGACCACACACTTGAAGTAATTTTCTTTCCTTCACTCTTAAGAGTGAGCACTTAGTATAAGTGGGCACTGTCCTTCCAAAATCAATGGAATCACAGTATCCCATACTCCAAATACAATTAATTATACATTTTCTACTTACAAATCAGGCTCTTGTCCCTTTTTTATCTCATCTTGTGGTATGGGGTAAAGTGCTTCATAAGTTCTTCCAGCTTTTGATCCATGTATTGCAAATGAATTAAATTTATCTACACCAGGAGGAAAATAACTCCAAGGAAGATGAGCTTTACCTTCCCACGTATTCTTATGTCTGGACACCTCAAATGATAAAGCAAGCTCTCGCTAGAACAGCAAAATGGAAGATGTAAATAAGGTAATGTGGCAAATTTGCACCAATACAGAAAGCACCTGGATATTTGAAAAGCCCGATTCCTGGGCACCTGATTACTTACTTTCCAAGATTTTCTTCTCCCAAATAGTAAAATCACCAAATGCTGTCCATGGCTGTCAAAACAAAAATACCTTGTAAGTACTTTAAAGAAAGAAATCAAAATTATATCTCTCACTACTCTGTATCAAAAACATGTACGGATATGTGTCACAAAGTTTTCCAATAACAAACAAAAAAAAATGAAAATATTAAGCCAATGAAAGTAGAGAAGTGACTACTGAAAAATGACATATTCGAATTTTTCCGGCTTCAGAGCAAGGGGTCCATTAATTTCTTTTCCAATAAATTTTATATATTTTGTTTTTAAATTACCTACATTCTTCAATATATCTCTCCTCTTCTTCCCAGAGAACCATCTTTTATAACAAAAATTTTTTTAATAAGGTGAGGGGACAGTTCAACAGAACTCATTATCACACTGAAAAAGCCTGACATCTGTAGTGTCCTATACCTGAAGTTTTCCACATCTTCAAAGAAGAGAGGGAGGTGCACTTCCATAACTCTTCTTTGGGGACAAGTTTGGTCATCATTCTGAAGCTTCAGTTCCAATTGTTCTTTTGTTGTTCTTTATATAAACATTGTTGCAGTTATACTGTAGATTATTTTCCTTGTTTGCTTACCTCACTTTGAATCAATTTATGTCTTCGCATGTTTCTCCATATTCCTATATTTAACATTTCTTATGGCATAGTATTATTCCATTACATTTATGTGCCACAACTTGTGCAGTTATTACCCAATAAATGGAAATCTACTTTGCTTCTTGTTCTTTGCAGCTACAAAAAGTGTTGTTGTAAATATCTTGGTGTATATGGGGACTTTCTTTTTGTCATTAACTTCCTTAGGATATATGACTAGCAATTAAATCTCTGGGTCAAGGATGTAGACATCCTAGTCCCTTTCTTCACAAAATTCCAAATAGCTTTCTAGAATGATTGGACCAATTCACAGCTCCACTAACAATACAGCAGTGGCCGTATCTTCCTATAGCCTGACAAATTTATGACAAATGCAATCCTATGCAAAAAAAAAGTTATGTGCTATGCTAATATTGCCTTTCATGTGCTTTGAATAAAACATAACACAGAACTAGAAGCAATGGGTGGAAACTATAAAGAGGAAAATTTAGGTTTGACATAAGGGAAAACTTCCTTAACAATTAGAGCTATCCAGAAGTAGCATGAGCTACTTTAAGAGGTAATGGGTTCAGCGGCAGCTAGATGAAGCAGCGGATAGAGCTCTGGCCTTGGAGTCAGCAAGACCTGAGTTCAAATCCTGGCCTCAAACACTTAACACTTACTAAATGTATGACCCTGAGCAAGTCACTTAATCCTGACTGCCTCACCAAAAAGAAAAAAAAAAAGGAGCTTACTGTGTGAAAAGGACTATGCTAAGTGCTGAGCTATAAACAGAAAAACAAGACTGTCCCTGTTTTCTAGGAGCTCACAATTCTCATACGCTAAGACAACACTTAAGGGAGAGTTCAGCAGTAAATTAGATTGAAATGCTCCATGATCCTTAGGATTAAGCTACAAAGCAGATGGTGATGCCACTTGATTAATATTATCTCCATAAATACATTCTGGACTTCTTGCACTTTAGTGGTGAAAACTTTCTTTTCTGGGTCTTCAGTAGCTGCGTCAGTCCCTGCAGAAGCAGTTACCAAATCACATCTCCACAAAGGTTGGTTCCCTGGGTGGCACCTATAGTATGGGCTGAACATAATATTCTACATGTGGTCTGTCCAGGGTAGAGTATAGAGGGAGTATCATTTCCTTATAACTGAAAGTTATCATTCATTTAATATAGAACTAGAATGCATTAGCTTTTCTGGCTACCTTTATCACACTGCTGACTCCTGTTGATCTTACAATCCACTAAAACTCTCAGATGTTTTTGAGAGAAACTGTTGTCCCTCATCCTGTACTTCCAAAGTTGGTTTGTTGTTTTGCTGTTGCTTTTATCCAAGTGTAAGATTCTATATTTCTATTGAATTTCATTTTATCATATTGTTTGATATTCAAGCCTATTGAGAAATTTTTGGAGCCTGTCATCTAGTGTGTTAGTGATACCTCCCAGTTTTGTATCATTTGCAGATCTGAAGAACATTTGTGCCTTTATCCAAGTCATTGATAAAACATGTTAAATAGCACAGGACCAAGCACAGATCTCTGGGACATTTCACTAGAGACCTTCTGCCATATTGACAGTAACCATTAGCTATTCTATGAATCCTTCAAATCATTTAGTTCTGAATCTATCTCATTGTATTATAGAAGAGTCCACATCTCTTCATTTTCACCATAAGAATGACAAGAGATATTTTATGAAATGCTTTGTCAACTACACCTACAGCTTTCTTCTCATCTCATTAGTAATATTGTCCAAAAATTAAAAAAGGAAAGAAAAGAAAAGAAATACTATTTGTCTGGCATGAACTTGTCTTGATGAAACCATGCTGGCTTTTTGTAGTCACTGTTTCCCTTTTTATATCTTCACTACAGATCTTTTCAATGATACTTTCTAAAATTTTCCCAGGAATTAAAGTCAAGCTCCCTGGCCTTTAATTTGCAGGCTATATTCCCTTCCTTTTCCCAAAAATTGGGACATATCTTGTACCTCTCCAATTTTCCATGATCTTTCCATCAGATATTACTGACAGTGGTTCCACAATTACACTCACCAGTTTCTTTCAGTACCTGAAGATGTAGTTCATCCTTGTCAGGTGATCTGAATGCCTTTTAAAGGCAGCTAAGTGTTCTCTTATTACCTCTAATTTATCCTGAGATATCTATCTTCTTATTGACCATTTTCATTATCATTTCCACTATAAAAGTTCCCTAGGAGCCTGCCTACCATATTAGCATTATAATAAACTTTTTGCCAGCTGACTGGAAGACCGCTTGAATCCATGAATTCTTTCCAGACAACTCTTCCTTGTACCACAGTATTTTGGGGTCTCTACACCCCTAAACCGCCTCAGGGCAATGGGGCAGAGAATGGGGAGATAGTTAGAAATGCTCTACTAGTCTCTTATTCTGCCATGTCCAAATGGTTAACTAGACTACAGAAGTGGGGTTGGCCTACATTCTAGTTACAAAAATAATTGTAAACTACAAAATTGATAGGAGTTAAGGCTGGCATAAAATAAATTTACTGAAAGCAAACACACTCTCACATCCTCATATAATCCCATTGTTTGGGGGCTTTTCTATTAAATCTATAAGGAACTGTGCAATTTAGCACTTCATTTCATCATTTCTTAAGCACTTAAGCTGACCCAGTCCTATACTAGGTGCTAAGGAGGCCCAACATAAAGAAGACTTGGTGTCTGACAACATGAAGCTGACAATCTAGAATAAACATCTAATATCTTCACCCCATCTCCATTTTCATCCTCCAGCATTCTGTTGTTTAGTTGCTTTCAGTCATGTCTAACTCTTCATGACCCCTTTTGGAGTTTTCCTGACAAAAACACTGTAGTAGTTGGCATTTCCTTCTCCAACTCATTTTATAAATGAGGAAACTAAGACAAACAGAGTTAATTGACTTGCCCCAGGAACACACAGCTAATAAGTGTCTAAGGTCACATTTGAACTCAGGTCTTCCTGACTCCAGGCCCACCATTCTATCCATTGCATCACCTAGCTGCCCCCAAGCCCCTAGCATGGTAAAGTTCAAAAAGTAATAAATAGGGAGTTAGCAGCCTCAGGTTTATGATCTAGTTCCAGTATTTAGCTGAGTGACTATGAGCACGAGCTCTCTTAACCTCAGTTTTGTCATCTCTAAAATAAGCATCAGAATTAACTCCACCCCCACCCCATCCCCATTTCAAAGAGTTGTGGGGAAAGCACTTTACAAACTGTAACACACAGTGGTAATGGGAGCAATACATACATGTTGAAGACTAGTACAAAGTATTCAATTAGGTGTTAATTAGAGAAAGACTAGAAAGCCATGGAGAGTTATAGTTAACTATGAAAACTGAACAACTCAATGCTAGAGTGCCAAAGGAGTTTAAACTGTTTTGGCTGTTTTTGGCCCAGATCTATGAGTTCCTCGGTGTGGAGCTCCTAGTGTAGAAAATCCCCACACCAACACTAGTTGCTCGGGGAATTAAGAAGTTAAGTGACTTACCCAGAGTCACAAAGCTACCATATGTCAGAGGCAGGACTGAGATCCTGGTCTTCCTGGTTGCAGAGTTAACCCTCTATCCGCTATGCCAAGTTGCCATTCTTACAATTAAGTACACAATAAAATAAACTGAAATCTCTTTAACCAAGATCTCTCTCATGTGGCATTTGGATTAATAATGTATCTTTGCATTGTAAATATTAGTGCTAGCTGACATTTACATGTCTCATTAAAGTCTGCCTATTATATTATATACACACTTTAACTGGATCCTCACAACTCTGTAAGGTAAGTGCAAAAGATATTAGCCCAATTTTACAGATAAGGAAACTAAGGATCAGAAAGATCAGGTGAGACGCTTAAGATTATACAGCCAGGAATTGAGAGGCAGAAGAGCACAGTAAAGAGAGCTGAACCTGGAGTAAAAGGACCTGAGTTCATATCCTGAATCTGCCATTTATTATCTATGTGACCTTGGACAAGTCATTTAACCCTTCCTGGGCCTCAGTTTCTCCATCTGTAAGATGAGGGTGTTGAACGTAATAATCTCTAAGGTCCCTTCCAAATCTATATCTATGAACCTGAGTATATAAGGTAAGCTTAAAACCCAGGTCTTCCTGATTCCAAGTCCATTGCTCTACCTACTATACCATTCTATTTGTGAAAAAATAGTCTTCTAAGAAAGTTAAGACCATATGTAACACAAGATGGCACAGGGCTATTTAAAATATTTAATAATTTAATGAGGTTGATGCTACTAATATTTTTCAAGCAGTCAAGATGTGACTATGTACAAAAATTGCTATACTGATTTGAAATAACTGTATCTACACATTAAACCAGGCTCCCTAGAATGAAACACTTTATCAAACTAATTTAATGTACCTGTATCTGTGATTTTAAAATACCCAGCACATAAAATTCCAGATTTACCATAGAGATAACTCAATTGGTGATTCATAAGTAATTCTACAAATGAATCAGTGCTTCAAATATTTTCACTACAAATTTCTATTAAAAGCCAGATCCCCTGTACATTTAAAATATAATGACTCACAAATAATTAATTTGTACACAAAAGTTTAGGAATATGTATGTTGTATAAAGCAAGTTATTGTTTTATTGGGAAATAATAAATCCATACTAACAGTTCTATGGTTCTAATTTGAATTCATTAATTTAAATTTTCCCTTCCCCTATCAGGCAGTGTGTGGGAATAATAGAAAGAAGAGAAGGTAGTGTGGCAAATCTCATTTCTGCCACTTAATATTTGCAGGACCTTTAGTAAGTCATTTAACCTCTCCAGGCTTCAGTTTCCTCATCTTTAAAATGAAAGGATTAGACTGGATGATCTCTAAGTATCCTGTATCTATGATCCTAATTAATTGGAATTAACTATGACCATACTACATGCTTTCCATATAGGCAACAATGAATTCATCAGAGACAAAGAGATGGCATTCAAATAAGAAGACTTCATACTTACGGGCAAAGTTCAACTTCCATATAATGTTGGGTTTTCTCATTCAAGAAAAATGCCTCCACCACTTTAAAAAAGAAAAATAATGTATTTTAGGAATTGGATTGTGCTTTACCAGGAAACCATTCATTCTTTCCTTTAAAAAGTATAGTTTATTTATTCATGACATTTAATAGTGTGGCATTCAAGACCCTTCATACTGTCATTTCAGGCTACTTGTTCAGACTTACCTACTACTGGCCTATGTATAATAATAATAACTCATATTTGTATGATGCTTAAAAATTCACAAAGTGTTTTACATAGACAGCATGTACATAGTAATTTGCACTTCTCATGATATCCCTCTTACTATATGTTGTATTAGTGTTTTTCCCACACTTGTCTTGTCCACCCAAGACTTCACTAACCTCAGCAGCAAAAATTGGTATCTTGCTCATCTTTTTCTCTCTCAAAGTACCTAGTACAGTACTTTTTACATAGTGAGCATTCAATAAATATCTGCTGAATAAATGAAATTACTATTCTGTTGGCTATACATAAGTCACTAACTCTAATACCAGCAGGAATTATTGCTGCTTTTCACCCTTCCACATTCATTGACAAAAAAACTGGAGCCGTTTTAAGTGAGTTTTTATCTTCATTTTTTTTAAATCTCTGGCAATAACTTTGCAAATAAAAGATCAACAAGTATGTAGGATGGGAAACAGAACACTGGTCTCCTGTACAGAACCATTCCACCTTGAGATTCTTAAGAGATTTGGTAGGTGACTTCTGTGTGAGCATAGTGGATACTGAAATTAAATAGTAGCTTTTGTAAATATAGGAAGCTTAAATAGAGTACCAGTGAAGCAACAAAGGGAAAAGTCACCCATCAGTGCATGTAGAATGATTACAGAAAGCTGAGAGATTTTTCCCTGCCTTACATGATTTAACTGTGATCCATGGAAGAATAGACTGACATCACAGTTTCATTAAAATGTTCAATTCAAGTGCCAGACTTTTGCTGATTCCTTCAAGAAATAGTGCTTCTCCTCAACCTTCCCCTTTAAAATTACTTTGTATTTTATATTATGTGAGCACATATTGTTTTCCCCAGTAGAATATAAGCTCTGTGAGGATAAACACCACTTCAATTGTTATCTTCGTTTTCCTAGCATCTAGTACAGTGCCAGACACATAGTAGGCACTTAATAAGACTTTGTTAAACTGACGAAATAAGCAGGACTCTTAAATCACTGTAGTACCTTTATATCTTCTTTAGGGAATTTTTGGTATATTATTACTTATAACTAAAATACCATCTACTTCAAGGGGTAAATTTTGCTGGACAACATCTATCACCAAGAGAAGAGAAGAAAAATACTAATAAGAAGTAAAGGAGAAATGACATCTCTTCCCTTTGAATTACATAACTTCTACTCTTGCTAAGGATCACACACACACACACGCACACGCACACACACACACACATATATATACATATATACATATATATATGTTATTTTAAAATAATTATATAAAAAAGGAGAAATAACGTCTCTTATCTTTGAAGTATGTAACTTCTACTCTTACTAAGGATCACACACAATATATATATATATATATATATATATACATATATATGTTATTTTCAAATAATTATATGAAAAAGGGGAACTAACATCTATTACCTTTGAACTATGTAACTTCTATTCTTACTAAGGATCACAAATATATATATATATACACACACACACATATATAAATTATATGTATATATATACACATACATAAATTTTTTATATATTTATATATATATTATTTTAAAATAATTATTGGCTAAAAGCGGTTTGTCACTTTCCCTCTCCCCTCCCCCACCAAAAAAAATATTCTTAAAACTCCATGAATGCCAAACTGGTGTAATAGTTAGACGGTCAGCCTTGGAATCAGGAAGACCTAGGTTCAAGTCCTGCCTTTAGCATATACTGTCTGTGTGATAGCAAGTAAACCAGTGTTCCAGGCAATACATTTAGACTTTTAGTTACAGATAGAGTTCTGCCTCAGTGGAAGGAGTTTGCAGATTTGAAGTACCCCCACCCCAAAGAAATTACAGGCTTATATTAAAAACAAATAAAAGCACTCCACACAGAAGGCTTGGAATTTTTTTTTAAAGTACTGGATCATTTTCTGTAAAATAGGAAGACATGATAATGTGGTATAATTAGTACTTCTTAATCTATTTGCATAGTTTCAAAGTTTAAAATACTTAAAGTATAAGCATTATATCACTCAGTCAGTAAGAACTATGTGACAGGCACTGTGCTCTGTTGTTGTAGTTGTTGTTTGTCCTTCCTGCTGAAAGAGACCCAAAACAGCATCACGTTAATGAATATTATGGCTAATTATCCCAATATGAGCTCAGAAGGTTCTACCACTGTTCAGGCACAAATAGTCCACATAAATGGTATGGGTGATATCTTTTGACTCAAACATAAATTGGATTTGAGTGAGGCAGAGTTGCTTAAAGTTACCCAGAGACATTGAAGTCCAGTGGCAAGACAAAAGTCAAGACAACTGGTGACAGCCTGGGATGCAGTGGATGACTTTAGCGTCTTCGATGTCTGACCAAGCTCTAAGCATTCCACAGCACCTCCTTCAGCTGCTTTCACGGCCACTGGAACAAATTGTTTGTATCTTCCCATTGGGGGGGGATCTTCACATGCTTGGGGTAGCCAACCCCTTCACCCCCAATGGGTTTGAGGCCCATTGTTACCTCTAGCTTGGTTTATCCCATCTTCTGAGAAGGTTTTACCAGGGTGTGGCCAATGCACATGCTACAGCTTCTTGGAGACACAAGTGAGAGTTGGGTGACAGGAGGACCCCAAAGGTGGATGAGCAGCCCTGAAAAGGGCTTGGCAGACCTCACACCTGAGGTACTGTGCTCCATAGTGAGGATACAAAGGCAAAAATGAAAACAATTCCTGCCCTCAAATAGCTCACATCCTATGAGGGGAAACAACATATTGGTGGCTGAGTCAATATAAAACATGTACAAAGTAGATCAAGTAATTTTGAAATGACAGACACTAAAGGTGTCTTAAAGGATATTGAATTTAAGGTTTGGAGTCTGTGGCCATTGATAATTATGTGGCCCAGCTGTTCTTTCTTGGTAAGAAGACTTATGCAAAGTATGTCTACAGTACCTTCTAATTATATTATATCAGGAGTTCTTAACCTAGATCATTCAAACTTGTTTTTTTAATATTTTAATAACTATAATTCAACAATATTGTTTTCCTTTGTAATCCTATGCATTGTAGTTTATGCATTCAGAAACATTATTTCTAGAAGGGATTCATAGGCTTCACTAGATAGAAAAGCTGTTCATGATACAAAAACTTAGGCACCTTTGTTATATAATCTTTATCCTCAATTTTGTGCCTAAAGTTAAAAAGCAAAATTCACCCTTTGAAGTGGATGGTGTTTTGGTTATAAGTAATACTATACCAAAACTTCTCTAAAGAAGATTTTTAAAAAGTACTATAGCCATTTGAGAGTACTTCCTAATGAAAAAGTTTTCCCTTACATCCAAGCTATTACCATTTGCTGAGCTGTTTTCAAATGGCAATATGAGAGGGGAAAGTTGGGAGAAGGAAATGAAAGAAAACACAGTAGCTATCACTGAATCTGGATTTGTCATGGCTATTTCTCATGCTTCTAGTTATTTGAGTTTCAAGCTCTATTTTGAGTGGAGAATCCACCCGTTTTAAGGGTCAGAAGGAAATCTTCATACCATATATGTCAAGTGCTCAGGCATGCTCCTTTTAAAATGAAGTTCTTGCAAGAGGATATTATGAAAGATTGATGACTGCAATAAAATTCAGCATTTCCACTTACCTTCATAATCCCACAGTCCTTCAAAAGGCTTTCCTGGCTCTGCATGTGGGGCTGGAGGATCATTAAAAAATGGAGCCTTCACTTCCATCATCAATCCTCCATCACCTGGACTCAGCCGGATCCATACTGGCTCATGGGATACTGGTAAACTATCCCAAGTGTGTTCAATTTTAAAATCCATTGAAAGCACTACAAGAAATAAAATACAAGAAACTTAGCCTTATGAAAATTTAGAGAGGCCACCACCTAGGAATATCAAAGGCATTCCCTTCAATTAAAAGGAAAATGGCATCAAAGTCTATTTACTGGAAGTAAATAGGAAGTGAGGTTAATTGGGTGTTACCTATCTTGATGAAGTTACATGACGCTGGCTCTTGGTAGTCACAGTTTCCTTTCCTAGATATTCTCTCACAATGCCTTTAATGATTCATTCTAGAATTTCTTCAGGAACTGAAATCAAGTTCATTGGTCTAAAGTTTGTAGAATCTGTTCTCTTTTCTTTTGTTTGTTTTTGGAAAGTCAGAACATTTGCCTACCTCTAATCCTGATGTATCTTTTCCATAATCTTTCAAATATCATTTGATATTCAAATATCAAATATCACTTAGCAATCAATTAAACAATATGTTGACTAAGCCAAAATTTGTATTTTTTTTTAATTATTTAACTTTGTGTAACCTGAGTTTCTGGCCAAGACTGAGGCATTGTGTATGCCATTGGCATGACTCCTAATTGGTAAATGCTGACTCAATGTTCCACATCTGCCTGAGGGGCGGAGTTGATTCGATAATTTGTTGGAAAGAGAACTTTGGAAACTGCAAAAATGTAGAAACTAACTCCTCCACATACCCCTAATTTCTAGATTGTCTCCCTAGAGACTAAAGATTTTCTATTGGTTATAATCAAAAACTCTCTTTTGATTGAGCTGAGATTTTACCTCAATTCCATCTAAATAGCTCATTCACTTATGTATTTTCTGGTATATTTTAATCTATAGAAAGCTCATTTCTTTTTGCTGTTTGCTTGAATAAATGTGTTTATTTGTTGTTGACTATTTGTCATGGTCTTTTGTGTAACATTTGGTGGGACTAGGCTGGCAAGCAAGCTATGGGGCTAGTGACTAGGGAAGTAAGTAGCTTTTGTTCTGAATCAGACTCAAACCCTTAGATACGGATAACGGTTGTAGGTAGGGGGTGGAAGGGAAAAAGGAGAAAGGAAAAGACAGATATAAGTATAGCCCAATACCACTCTTAGAGACAGGCAAGAGAATGAGCAGACATTCAGCCATGGCCCTTCTCTTTCTTCCAAGGTAGCAAATTAAAGTCACCCTTGGAAAAGGGGGGATCAAATTCCAGATATATCTATTCATGTTTCTGAAGAGTCACATTTAGATACCTAATGTAAATATACATATCTTATATGAACACACACATATCTTACATGTTCAAAGAAAAGCTTTGCCCTTGTTAATGAAATTTCACCATTCTAAGATATTGTGATATCTCTCCCTTTGCTCCCTTATGGTGAAATAGCTAAGGACAGCGATTACCTCTTAGAGGCCTGCTCTTGAGAGTTTTAGACCTTGGTATTGGGAAAGGGTAGGAGTGGGGTGGAGGGATAGGGCATAGGATTTTAAAAATTATATTGTCCAGGGGCAGCTAGGTGGTGCAGTGGAGTCAGGAGGACCTGAGTTCAAATCCACACTCATACTCAAATCCACACTTACTAGCTGTGTGACCCTAGGCAAGTCACTCACTTAACCCTGATTGCCTCACTGAAAAAAGCAAAAAAAAAATTATATTGTCCAACACTCTTATTTTGCAGCTGAGCAAACTGAGATATAAAGAGGCTAGGTGACATGTCCAAGGGTCACACAGCAAGGACTCCCAGACCTGAACTCTCATTTGGGTGTTCTGACTACAAATCTTGTTCTCTTTCTATGACATCCCCCAGAAGCCTCCCTCTGTTGCTAGCTTCCTACAGGATCTGGAGTCCATTTTTCCCCAGGATCAGGTCCCTCAGCAGCCCTCTTCCTTACAGATAGGTCTTCCTTTCTTTCCCTTGGTCCAAATTCTGACTTGTTTCTTTATTTCTCCTAAGCTCAATTCAACCTGCTTCCTCTGCCTCAAGAGCATTAAAATATACTTTCAGGGTCACTTGATTTTATTTTAGTTAAAATTTAGTTTAAAAGCTAAAAGATTTTTTAACTTTCATACCTTTTAAAATAGTGACAACTTCTTGGTAAAGTAGGTGAGTTTCCTTCTTTAAAATCTTATGACAATACCAATTTTAAAGAAGCTTGTGGGTTACATAATTAGCTTTTTTTGTTGCAATCGATTTACAGGCGGTAAACTGAGTTTGGAGACTGAAACTTATCTAACATTATTCTAATTGCTAAAATAGATTCAGTAATAAAAGGAAGCTGAGTTCAAAGTTTTTTAAAATGTACAAGAAAACAAATGAAGAGTGACTTTGAAATGCATCCTTCTGAGTCAGGGTACTATGAGGGCAATGTGTTGCATACATTGTTGTGCTGTAGTTGTTTATGCTATCAATTGGTTTTTCTTAATTGTCTGTCCTTGTTAAAAGAGAAGCCTCAACTCTGGGGTGGTGGTACCAGGGAAAAATGTCCAGACATAATGGAAAAATCTGATTTTTTTAATCCCCTGTGCTGGGCTGCTTTATAATAGTTTGTTAGGCTCAATTAGTTATTGATTTTTGTTATTAAACATGAATATGGGAAGGAGGGGGGATTTCCTTATAGAGGGAATTCACAGAATAGAAACTTCCTCCAGCACAAATTCCAACCTGTCAGTGATTTAAACATCTTCACATGCTTCACAAGCATGAAACATTTTAAATTAACAACAACCAGTTTTCATTTACTCTTTTGGGTCAAAATAACAAAAATAGCTATACTTCTTTCAGATTTACAAAGTGTTCTTCTCAGGACCATCTAGTGGTGTTAGTAAGTGGAAGTTTTATTGTGCCCATTTTATAGAAGTAGAAAGTGAGGCTCTATGAAATGAAGTGACTTGTCTGTGTTTATACAACTAACATCAGCCTGAGGCAAGATCATCACCAGTTCCTTCAAACTCCAATCTAACAGACTCTGAGTCCACCACTCTATTCACTCTATGTGAGATTAAAAAAAAAACACAATAAAATGTTTCTTTCTTATTCCTAGATAACCAAAGACCATTGAGGACACCAACACGTACCATTAGGGAAAATAAGATGCTCTGGTAAACTGGAAATGAAAGAGACTGCATGCTTTACTGGCATCCCCACGATGCCAAGAGAACTAGGAATAGGTTACCAGCATGAGAGGTAGATCCTCTGTGGAGGATTTATTGGAAGACATAAACAGGTTTGCAATTTGCACCATTAGGGAGAGTACTCACATCAATGAGATGGCAGATATACTGTAGTATGAAATTAACATTCTCTGAAGCTCACCTTCCTCACTTGTAAAAATGATGAGATCGAACTAGATAGTCTCTAAGGCCTCCTCTAGCGACCAGGGTTGGGGAACCTGCTGCCTTGAAGTCACATGTGGCCTTCTAAGTCCTTGGGTGTGACCTTTTGACTGAGGCCAAGTTTCACAGAACAAATCCTTTTATTAAGGTGATTTGTTCTGTCAAGTTTGGATTCAGTCAAAGGGCTGCACTTGAGGACCTAGAGGGCCATAAGTAGCCTGGAGGCTGCAGGTTCCCCACCTCTGTATCTAGTCTTTCTATCTATTGATGTGCTGGTAAAATATTGCTGGAAGCTTCATTAGGTAGCATCCTTTCCTATGTATTTGCCTTTATCTAAATTATAAAAAGCTCCTGCCTCTCTATGGAGAATCAGTCCTTGTGGGGAGAAGGAGTATTAAAGATTCAAGCAATGAGCTAGGCTCCTAATAGATTCTTAGAGAAGAAGCATAAGACATATGGGACAGGTTAAGTGCCATTCCACCTGTTGAATGCTAAAAGCTCACAGTCTCCACATGTTTCTGATGTATACCAGCAGGTATTACTAAACAGACTGCAACTGCTCCTATCCATATTCTAGGAATTCTTTTTAAAGGTTTTAGTTCAGATGTTAAGAAGAGACAATGCTGTAGCACTTGGGGTTGATTTATCAAACTGAATATTTCACTCTTCTCTTTTAAAATTAGATTGCAAGTTTGCCAAATCTTGCATGGCTTTGGTTTTTGGACATCACAAATGTCATGGGGAGCATGAAATAAAACAAAAGGAACTGAACAAGTGTAACAAAGATTGAGAGCTCACCTCATCTCAACTCCAGGAGGAATGTAAATGTGAATTCTACAATAGTAAACTCATAAAGCTTTGCTTTAAATTTACATTAGTAAGAATAGATTTTTTTAAATAGACAATTTTGACTATAAAATATTAAAGCTTCTTCAAACAAAACAAAATCAATGCTAATAACGGTAAGAAGGGAAACTGACAATCTTTGTATAAATTTTTTTTTATCAATCTTTGATAAAAAGTATGATAGATAAGATATACAAGGAATTAAAAATATTAGTACATCTTAGTAATAGATACTTCCCATTCAAAAGCAGTCAAAGGACCATTGAACAAATACTTTTCAAGAGAAGCATTCATACATGTTTTAATGTTAGAAGTTTGTTCTCCATAACTACTGACTAGAATTAAATGGCCCAATAAAAAACTTTGGTTTCATTTCCCAATAAAGATATGAACATACATGCTCTACATTCCAGCCCAAACTGGACTACTTGTTAAAAACAATTCTCAGTCTCCCATTGAACAGGCAATCTATTCCCCATGCCTGAAATGTGCTCCCTCTTTACGGCTCTGGAATTCCTTGCCTCCTTCAAAGGGAGGAGGATATATACACACATACATACATATATATGTGTGTGTGTGTGTGTGTGTGTGTGTGTGTGTGTGTGTGTGTGTACATATACACACATATCTACATATGCTTACATACACACATATATATACATATATATGTATGTATATACACAGAGGGCACAGGATAAGTTGAATATGAAGGGATAAGATCTAAAAAGTAGAATTAAGGGGTGAGAGAGGATTATACTGGGAGAAGAAAAGGAGAGGTAGAATGGGGTAAATTATCTCACATAAAAGTGGCAAGAAAAAGCTTTTACAGTGGAGAGGAAGAGGGAGGAGATGAGAGAGAATGAGTGAACCTTACTCTCATTGGATTTGGCTTAATGAGGGAATAACACACACACTCAATTGGGTATGGAAATCTATCTTACCTTACAGGAAAGTAGGGGGAAGGGAATGGGGGGATGATAGAAGGGAGGGCAGATTGGGGGACGGGGTAATCAGAAGCAAACACTTTTGAGAAGGTTCAGGTGTCAAAAGAGAGAATGGAATAAGCAGGGGGTGGGATAGGATGAGGCAAATATAGTTAGTCTTTCACAACATCACTGTCATAGAAGTGTTTTACATGACTACACACGTATAACCTATATAGAATTACTTGCCTTCTCTATGAGGGTGAGTGGGGAGGGAGGGAGGAAGAGAATTTGGAACTCGGAGTTTTTAAAATGAATGTTAAAAATTGTTTTTTAAGTACAACTGGGAAATAAGATATACAGGCAATGGGGTATAGAAATCTACGTTACCCTACAGGAAAATAGAAGGGGAAGGGGATGAGAGAAGGGGGGAGGTAATAGAAGGGAGGGCAGATTGGGGGAAGAGGTGATCAGAATACATGCCATCTTGGGGTGAGGGGATGGAAGGGAAGGGATGAGGAGAAAATTTGGAATTCAAAATTTTGTGGAAATGAATGCTGAAAACTAAAAATTAATTAAATTAATTAAAAGATAGCACCTACTAACCAGGGTTTTTATGAGGATTAAATGAGATAATATTTGCAAAGCACTTTGTAAATCTTAAAACACTAAATAAATGCTGGTTATTATTATGAGACATGCTCACTGATTGATTGATTGATTTGACTCAGAATCTCTCTTGAGGCATATATCCCAAGCAGATGAAGAGAGAAATAAAAACCTTATCTATGCCAAAATATTTGCAGAAACTTTCAGGATTGGTAAAACAACAACAACAACAACAAAATCTCCAATAGAAACAAAACAAAAGTCCTTAGATTGGAGAATATCTGCAGAAATTGTGTGTGGTGTAGCAATGTAAGAATTTATTACTGTCCCATAAGAAATGAGAATATGAAGAATTCAAAAAACATAGAAAGACCCATATGAATTAATGCACAGTCAAACAAGTAGAAACAAAAGAACCATATACATAATGAGTGCAATTCTCTAAACAAGAACACTATCATGATGCCAAATAACAAGTAATTGTTATGACCAATCCTGACCCTAAAAAGAGATAAGGAAACACTTTCCTTCCTTTGGTAGAGTTGTGAGACAATTTAGGGGAGGGAATGTTACATATAACATCAGACTTGACTAGGTCACCTGTATCAGTTGGTTTTGCTTAACTGTTTTCTTGGTTATAAGGAAAGACTTGGGCAGAAAAGACAGGTATACAATATCTGGAAATGATAGTGATATAAAAAACAAAAAGCATCAATAGATTTTTAAAAAATCTTAGAACTCTGGGCTAATATAATAAAATCCAAATGCCTTAGAAAAAGCTTATGGGTGGTTGGGGAGACAAAAAAACCTGAATTATACTACAGTTTTAGAGCACTTGTATTTACACCAACATTTTTTAATTTTCATACTTTTGTTACACATATTTTTCTTAAAAAGAATAGATGCTTTTTGTAGACTATTAAAATGCATAACTGTCATTTACAGAATTCACAGATTATATCATTTGAAATTTAAACAATCCTGTTAGTTAGGTTCTGTGGATATTACTTTCCCCATTTCCCCAGTTGAGGAAACTGAGGCTTACAAAGGTGAAAGTGACTTGCCCAAGGTCCCTGTATTCACACAAAGTATTTCTAGGTGGGATTTGAACCCAAATTTTTCTAAATCCACATCCATTCTCTGTTCTTACACAGTGGAAAACATCCTAGATTTAGTCATCATATGGGAGTTCATATTCCCCACCTACCATGACCTTAGGCAAATCACTTAACCTCAGTGGTCCTTACTTTCTTCATCCATAAAAATAAGGGGATTAAACTGGATGACTTCCAAGGTCACGCAGCTCTAAATATAGGGAGCCTGTGGTCTACTTTGCCATTGAGAACCAAGTAAGATACCAAAAATCAAGATGACAATTCTTGATTTTGCTTTAGAAACTATGCATCCCTACTAATATGGACCTTAAATTTTCTGTAGCTAGGTCACTACAAAAGCCAGTTCAGGACTTAGACAGCCAGACATGAATTTAACTACTAATATGTTACATTACACAGGAAGAGGATATTCAATCTGGCAAAAAAAAAAGTGTTTCTCATCAAAAAACAGCAATGATATGCTTCATCCCATTTATCATAAAGATAACAGGACACTGGCGCAAGTCCATTGATGGCAAGGGTGCCAGGAGACAAAAGGTGAAGCGTGGTGGAGCAGTGGAGGACCTCATCTTGGCAGTCATCTGGAAGGTTGCTATTTTAACCAATTATAATTAGGCTCTAGTGATTTCTAGCTGCCAAAGGCCTGCAATTATGCCAGGCCCCTCTGCTCTGGGACAGAACCTCAGTTGTCCTACTATACTTACTGTTCTGCCAGCGAAGGAAAGAAAAAAAAAAGATAGGAGATGTCTTGCAAGACAGAATTCAGGAAATATTTAGAACTGAAGAAGAGAAGGGACAGCAGGAGTTTAGGAAAGCAAAGGATTTATGAATGAGGTGTTTTTCCTAAATAGGTGGAAGGTAAGGTTTTAGGTTTAGAGATACCCTCAAGTATAACACTTTTCCTACATTGGACTATAGTTACTTCCTTTTCCTTTACATTATTGGCTGTAACAGAGAAATAATAAATCAGGCCTCAGAGTCTGAATAAGCAAGACTAGCATAGAGGAAGTAAAGGTGCTGGTAGGTGGATAAATGTTGAAAATAAAGAGGAGAAGGAGCCATTGTCAACAAGATAGCACAAGGGTACAAGTTTGCCAGAATGAGGGGAGCATTTAAAAGCTAAAGAATGCACAGACCAGCTGGAAGCTCTTTGTGGGTCCCAGTTCTCTTCTTCCTTCCTGAAACGCTGCTGCACCTCCTCTGTCTAACAGAAAGCTCTACCCAGCAACCTGACAAGCCTAAGGGGAGGGACTTAGGAAAATAGAAGTGAAAGCAGCTGATTTTTTTCCTGGGGAACAAGATAGAGGTTAACACTTTAAATAACTACCTAATCCTCCCACAATCTCTTCTTCCAAAAGACCTAATGTGAGAAAACATGCAAAAAGATAAATTTATCATTTAGCAGGAAAAAGAAAACATCAAAGAGATTAAGGACAACTGAGTAATTAAAAAGGGAATTCTGCATTTGTGCAATAAAATCAGATTTTAACTCACAATAAATAGCAAATGTCTTTTAATGTAACCCACAGCCAGCTGTGTATACAAATCAAACGCTGAAAATTCTAAAACATTAGCTTAAACCTCTGCTCCTTAAACACACACATATATGCAAAAGCTTCTGGTCAAAAGCTGGTTTTATTTAACATTTCACATCTGTAACTTATAGACAGTTGCCTGTGGCTCTGAAAGGTTAAGTGTCCAATTCATCCCACACATAACTGCCAAAGTAATTTTCCTAAAGTGTAGTTTTAACTATGTCCACTCAATAAAAATCCAATGGTACCTTACTGCATCTAGGATAAAATATAAACTCCTCTGTTTGGCTTTTAAAGCCCTTTTTAACGGAGCCACAACCTGTTTTTCCAACCTTATTATATATTATTCCCCTTCCAGCACACAATTCAGTCAAGCTGACCTTCTTCCTGTTCTTTACACTCAATGCTCCCATTTCCTGTCTCTAGGCTTTTTCAATGGTTGTGCCCCACACCTAAAATGCACTCCCACTTCACCTCTGCCTCTTAGAATCTCTAGTTTCCACTACCTTTGACATAAAGGCTTTCCTGACTGCCCCACACCAAGCAGGGATGCCGCACAAAAAATGTTCATTGTATCTATTTGTGTATATTTTGTATATATTTATTTATGCACTTGTTGCCTTCACTAGTAGAATAAAAAATGGCTTTAAACAAATTCTAAAGCAGCAGAACCCACAAAAAGACAGAGTGAAACAAATTTCCAGCCAAAGACAACCTGAATGGTTGATTAGAAAGGTATATTACACCAGGCTGGGAGAGTAGTTCAGTTTGTCCTCAACTCTTTCACTGCTTACAGTGTGTATAACCTTACTATAGTTTCCAACTCTGTTTCATGTGTCGCAACTAGACGATGGGTCTTATTTTCTGTCTAGAGTACCTATATAGCATATGATGAAGACAAAACAGAATCAAAATCATCAAACTTTAGGATTTGGAGAGATTTTAGAGATGATAAAATCCAAGCCTTTTTTTCCCCACAGGAGGAAGCTAAGATATTAAAAAAGTTTTTTAATTTCTCAAATCATTTATAAAAGAGTTCTAATATTTCTAATAAATATCATCAAGGATATATAGTTTTGAAAAAGGAGATGGAACAGTTGTGTCATAGGAATGAGGGATAACAGATGGACCCTAGAGTACTTCACCTGTGGAATGGGAAAAGACCTCAAACACAATGAGTCAATATATGGGATTTATAGGAGGATATGGAGTAGAATTATACAGGACAAGAAACTGCAGATGGATTGTCACCCCCACTGGAGGAGGGAGTTCTCATGTGATTGAAACGTTAGTTTGTCTAAGTAATAAAAACCTATTTTCAAAGTTTTTTGCAAAAAAAAAAACTTACAAGAAGCTATCATAAAACCTTATGCTAGATATTGCTAGTGATCAAATGAGTGATGAAAAGTATACCTAATGTACTTTGCACACCTTAAAGTGCTCTCCAATCCAATCAACCCAACAAACATTTGTTAATCAATCAATCAATAAGCATCTCCTTGTGGACCCCATGCTAACTTGGGAGATTGACATATAGAATCGAAATTCACTAGTTTTCCACAATTAAAAGTATATGACAGTTATTTCTATGAAATCATTGTGCATCTGGGGTTATCTCCAGTTGTCCTGACTTATGCCTTGCCACTGAACTAAGATGACTCTGGAAGAGAGAACAAGATTGTATCTGATTCACTTAAACCTAACTCATTTGCAAATCAAGATATCACCCTTCTGAAGAACAATAAGAACAATGATGATATAGTCTCTAATCTCAAGAAGTTTATTTTTTTACAAATAGATGAGTGATGGGCAGGGAAAATAGCTTTGTTCTGACTCTAGGTAATCACCCTAAGCAAGAGTGGGGCCCTAAGGCAATCAGTTGTCAAGCCCTTTATGATTGCAAAGATAATGTGATTGGATTGTTTCCTGAACAAAGAGGAGGAAAAGATGGCAGAAAGTGGGTAACAGGAGTTACTGGGCAGATGCAAGATACTAGTAATGGCTCAGCCTGAGATTCTGGTGAATTACTGAATAGAATGAAGCATGTTCTGGGACTTTGGGACAAGCTAAATAGAGAGGGTTGAGGTAAGGCTTGACTCACTCACCTTTATATCCAGGCAGCTCTGCCCAGCTAGTCCCCAAAATGAGTGAATTAACTCTTCCAAGGTGATGCTTACTATGAATACCAAGACAAAATGAAAAAGAATCCCTGCTCTCAAGGAGTTTGCATTCTACATATTCATTTATAATAGGGACTGGCACATGCACAAAATATCTCCCACATTGGAGAGTCTGGGGAGCCTACTTCTGGAGAATTATGTTGATTTGTAATGGTAGTTCTATAAGAGATGTTGGAACAGGTTTAGATATTCTGTAACTGGCTTTCCTAATAATATGGTTAGGAAAAATCTTTTCAAGCGGCTGTATCTGAAAATGGAGGTTCCCTCAAAAGGTTCTAATCAACCAGAGTCTGTCTTCAGACTAAATATCTTTTTATGAAAACTGATTAATATTAAGCGGTTAAATAGAACTGGAGTGCCAGTCACTTGTGGCCAATGGTAAGGGGAACACAGAAAGTGGCGGGCCAAAGCTGATAGCATCAGAATAGAGATACACCAAACAAAACATCTCAAACCATTTAGGGATACCCTTAAAATCCTGAAGTGGGAATGTGGCTGGCCTAGCTCTGGAATAGTAAACTAGAGCATACTTCCTATACAGATATGTTGCTATCATTTTTCAGTCATATCTGACTCATTGTGACCCCATTTGGGGTTTTCTTGGCAAAGATACTGGAGTGGTTTGCCATTTCCTTCTCTAGCTCATTTTACAGATAAGGAAACTGAGGCAAACAGGTTAAATGATTTGCCCAGGGTCACATAGCTAGAAGTGTCTGAGGTCAGACTTGAACTCAGAAAGATGAGTTTTCCTACCTCCAGTCCTAGTGCTCTGTCCAATGTAACACCTAGCTTCCCATATACATATGTGAGTTCTAGTTATTATTAAGTTACTACTGTTATAACTATTACTGTTGTTGTTGTTAGTATCTCACAAGGTATGTGTCACTAAGCATCATTACTGACATTTCCAGTATAATAAAAATGAATGAATGAGTGAATGAATGAGCATGTATTAAGTGCCTACTATATGCCAGGCACTATGCTAGGTGCTGGTAGGTACAAATACAAAAGTGAAGCAGTCCCTGATCTCAAAGAGCTTACATTCTAATGGGGAGATAACAAATACAGGGAAATGGTAGTAAGGAAGGGAGTCACAGAAATGGTGGGTAAAGGCATAAAGGAGGCGGTTTTATCAGCAGTGGTAGTATTGATTTCATTACTTTTCCTATAGAAAGAGGTGAAAAAGTGAGGGGTACAAACATGGAAACGTAGTAAATAGCAAAATGTCTGTGGTGGATAGATGTGGAACAATGTCTGCACTTAGACAAGGAGGGAAGTAGTAACACTAGAACCAGCTCATAACTTTCAAGAGCCTGTTGAACTATTAGGAATTTTTGTGAGCTAGTTGTTAAATACAGCCAGTACACAATTTAATCAACCACTCCACTGGTGACGTTATTTGTTACTCTAAAAGAGTTGGTTTCTACCACAGCAAAGAGTATTTTCAATGCATTGTTTCTACTTTGAGTAACTGTGGCTGTGATAATGAATTTGAATATTTGAAAGCTAACTCAATTGTGTTTTGTTCTGTGCTAATACAATGCTGGGGAAAAAGTCTGGAGTAGACACAAAGTTATTAGAAAATTTTCCTAAGATTATCCTTTGTCACTTTTTAAATCATTAATTGCAATTTTTACTTAATACTTCAATATCTGAAATAAAACAAATTAATAATCTTAAAATATTTCTAGATAAACTATGTCCAATGTATCTTATTTATCACCAATCTAAAAAAAACTGAGCTAGAAAATATATCTAAAAAACTTTAAATTGAAATTATCAAAAATTAGTCACCCGGGACCAAGATGGATGACATATTTTTACAAGCTGCTACTTCTGTATGGCACACATTCCCTGCATTATATATGTATTTTTCACACATATATACATTTTTCTCATTCATTTTATTCTGGGTTGGCAAAGAGATTAGTTAACATTAAAGATTGCCTTTCTTGAAGAATTTTCATTACCTTCACCTACGTTGCAATCAAGAACAACTAACATTCAGAAATTAGAAAAATTAATCAAACATACTATAAGAGCTTTGGAAAACTTAAAGATTGGTACCAGAAAGCACAAATTTCAAAATGAAAAATTGATTAGGTTATACAAGCCTAAAACATTCCATTTAATAAAAATAATAAGCATAATACTCTTCTAAGACCATACTACTAGAAAATATAATTTGACATGTGAATTTATATCTTTTATCACACAGAAACAAGGATAAAACTATTTTTAATTATTTTGATTTGTTAAAACCATATACTTGTGAACCATAGGCCTTGTGAAGAACTAGCTCACCATGGATATCTGGTGAAAAAAATCTATTATTTAAGTGAAATTTTAAAATGAAATTAAAAAAAAAGATTTCCCACATTTTGTTGATAATGTAGAATCAAACAATATTCAATCCCTGCAACTATACAAAAATCTAAGAAGACAGCACTATTGCAGTCAGAAGAGCTGAAGTCAAAAGAAATTTCAATTTAATGAATATAATTT